CTGCAATAGGGGGTCCTTAGGCCAGCACCAGGAGGAAGAGATTGGCCAAGCCTGCCTTAGGAACCAAATCATAGGAGATGAGATTTCAATTGCGCCCATAGAGACCCAGTTAGAAGCCAACGGGATACCCTGGAGTATCCCCATCTGGTACTTTCTTTCCCTCAGAGAAAAACCAGGGCTATTTCCAGAGCCCACTGGTTGCCAGCAAGCATTCTTAGATGGCCTCTCTTGTCTCCAGCGACAGCAGCAGTGTCTGGCCTGCGTGCAATACCTGCTCCCTTGACTATATATGTACCCAGAGGGACTTGGCTGATTTTGCATGCAGGGTGCTCTCCCTGGCTGCTCCAGCCTGAGGTGATTTTCATAGAATTTAGAGTACCTGCCTTCATGCCTCATGCTGCCATCCACACAGAACCTTCCCACACTACAGTTTAATCCTGTTCACATGCCTCCTCCCACTCTCTCCTCCCCCGGCCAGCCACTAGGACTTTCCACTCAAGACCCAGTCAGTCTCTAACAGACAGACCCTGTGGATGGCACACAGGCCTGTTGCCAATCTGTGAGTCAACAGCCGTGCCCTGCAAATGCCTGGACCAGAAAGTTGGGCTGGGGCTTTGTGACAGAGGATAAAGACCTGAAGCCTGTCCCCAGTATGGGGGCAGGGGTCAAAACAAAGCACAAGAAAGGATCACTCTTGAACAGGAACACTGAGGTCCAGTGTGGCTGCAGGGGAGCATGTAGGCCACAGGAAAGGATTCGAGGGATTCGAGGGCTTTTAGTCTGCACATAAATAAGCCAAGAAAAATTGAATTGATTTTCCTTTTGCAGCAAACACACACTTCTTTTAATAAAAATATTTGAATATATTATAAGATGAATATATATTAGGTAAGCACACACAATGCATAGCATAAAAGAGACAAAACCACCCATCGTTGCTTTGTGTAAGCAGGGGCTGTTCCTGTCATGGTGGCTGGCATGGGAGTTTGCTAACCCAGGGTCAGGGAGGCAGAGCTCCCACTTCCAGAGATGTTAGCTGCTGGGTTCCTAGGCCACAGGCCAAATGCCAAAAGCAAGTAAGAGCCAATGATAGACGCCTCTTTCCCAGACCTGGAGCAGGCCCAGCAACCGGGCAGAGCAGCCTGGGCCTACCCAAGGATCACCTTTGTCACTGGGTAGCCTGCAGGAAGCTGGGAGCTGGTTGTAAGAGCCAAACCGCAGGTAATGACAGCTTTGCCCATTGTGGTTTTTGCCTGTTTGATGAGGGCATCTCTTGTCTACTCTGAGGCTATCTTCTGGTTTGGTCAGGAAGTGAGTACCATGGGAGTTTTCCAGCAGTGTGCACTCTTCTAAGAAGCTGAACCCATATACAAGGTAAATAAAGAACCCAGGACCAAGAGGTTAAGTAACCTCACTAGAGATACATACTTTAAACATAAACACTGTCCTCATCAGTTCGTAAGGCTGTGCCACAGTGCCACCCTCAGCAGCCATGGAGGTGATAGTCTGTGACCCTAGGAGCCTGGCTTGTTCCCCAACAACTGCTCAATCCTCTCCTGATTTCCAGATAGCTGTGCAGCTCTTCTCCACAGACAGAGCTCTGGCTCTGTCCACCTTGTGTTTGAGACAGGGCCTCTCACTGGCATGGAGCTGTCCAAATGGGCTAGGGTGGCTGGCCAGCAAGCCCCTAGGATCTGCCTGTCTCCATCTCCCCAGTTCCTGGATTACAAGTATGCATTACCATGCCTGGCTGGCCCTACTCCCCCTTCTGGGTTCTAGAGATCAAACTCATGTCCTTCTGCTTGCAAGCAAGCACTTTACCAACGGGGCCTGAGCCGACTCCTCAGCCTCCTACTGGAGGAGTTGGACACTAGCACAGGTAACTGGCTCAGTCTGGCTGGAGCCACTCCCACCGATGCCCCTTCGGGTGTGCTGGGAGGACCCAGAAGACCAGAAGCAGTATCCCACTGGAGTGGAATGTGTAAACAAGGGCCACATTGGTGCTGAAGGAAAAGCCCTATTGCAGGCCCGCAGGGATGCCTCCTCACCGCTCACACAGCTCATCCCACGCTCCAGTGCAGGCCAGCCGGGGTGATGTTTGCTTAGTCCTGGGCCATGTTCCTACTACTCCAGCCCACCACAGCAGCCCACACAGCTGGCATCTGCTCAGTGCCTACCGTCCTGGTCCAGATAGACATAGTGACCTCTTGCCTTTCCTCTCCAGTCAGGCTCTGTATTGTTAACCCACAGTGTTAAGGTAAAGTCTGACCATTGTTCACCAAGGTTTAGATTTCCACATAAAGACTACTCACAGATCATAGCTTACAGGCTAGATCTGACCACCCAGCCCATCTCCAGCCTCCTCCCCTACAAAACCTTTGGACATTAGGGACACAGTCCCTGTGTCGTGTCTTAAGAGTGTAAATCAAGAACTCACATGCCAGGCTCTGCACCCCAGCTTCCCTTAAGGGTTTGGGCCACAGCCTCCCTGTGCCTTGGGCTAGCAAAGCTTATCCTTCCCACGCCTTTCAGAGCAGCCCCCAGCGAGGGAGACAAGGCAGAGGAGTGGGTCAGAAGTGGCTTCAATAACTTAAGTCTCTTCCAGGAACCCAATTCCTGGGGGAATGGAGAGCTTTGGGAGGAGAGAGGAAGAGGAGCTGGCAGACGCAGCAGCTCTGGCCTGGCTGAATCCCCTTTGGAGTGAATCCAGAGGGACCAAGACTGCGGGGAAGTCATCACAGGCAAGGCAGCTACAAGGTAGGCAGAAAGCTCCTTCCCATTCCACTATGTCTTCATGATGCCACTTCCCGTCCCACTACATCCTCATGCTGCTCCAGGTCACGCCTGCACAGGTGCCACAAACACCCACAGGAAGGCAAAAACACCTTATTTTCGTAGATGAGGATGCTGAGTGATTTGCTGAAAACCTGGGCCTTGAATCAACATGCCCACCATACAAATCACCACTTTCCTGCCACCCAGGTGAGGGCTTGAAAAGGAGAATGGGAGTGGTGGCAGGGTGGGAGTGGACTGGGCAGTCTGGGCAGTCTGCCACTCTGCCTTCCCCAACCCCTGAGAGTTTAAAGTCCAATATAATTGACTGTGAGGTGATAAATTTCTGCTTTGAGCACTATCATCATTCCTCGCTGGATTGCTGGGTCTGCAGGCACCAGTCCCCAGACAGCAGAGCCTCACTCCAAACCAGCACCTGGTGTCTAAGCACCAGGCTTAGACACTTAGATCCAGCCCCAAAGTACAAAACCTGGGTGACAACATACTTAGAAGATGGGGTCATCAGGATTGGGGGTGGGGGACGACTAAGAGGAACCTTAGGGGATGTGAGACTATCTGGGATCTAGAAAGGAACAGGGACTGGCCCAAGGTCACTGAGAAAGATGGAAAGAGCTGGAAAAGTCTTGACTCCTCCAGCTGTGCCCATGTTCTCTGTAAGGTCTTTGTCCATGCTAGCTGGCACAGCAGAAGCCTGGGGCTCTGGGGCTCTGGGGCTCTCTCCCCCCTACAGGGAAGGTGAGGGTGGAGAAGTCACAGCATATCCTGGCCTCCCACATCTCATGGTGCTGGCTTGCCCCAGAGAGACAATGAGGTTCTCCAGCTCACCACCCCAACAGGTATCCTAGGCACACAGTTTGGGAGCTGTGCCTCCTCCCAGATCCTAGACCATTCAGGAGGCATCTCCAAGCTTTACTAGTGGGTCAGCACCTACGGAAGCTCAGGTGACAGGGACAAAGACCCCAGCACAAGACCACTCTATGTGTCTCTTCTATGGCATAAGGTAAATGTACCACACATGACCACCAAAGAAAGGGAGAGAGAGAGAGAGGAAAGGGGCAAGTGAGACCCTGGCCTCAGGAATAAAAAGAACTTCTCAAAGCCACACAAAGTTGCAGGCACTCGGCAAGCCTGTAGCCCACGTATTCATGAAGGGTTTCAGCCTCCTCCTACTGGCCAGAGGTGTGAAGCCTGGAAAGTCTTAGCCTTGGCATGGTGGCTTAATTCTCAATTCTACCTCGAGAAGAGGAAGGTGGGAAGAGGGGCCTTTGCACTTTTCTGCAGCCATAAACTTCTGGGAGAGGAAAGCTGTCCCTGGAAACCTGTCAAGAATTTGACCAGCATAGGAAGGAGGGACCACAGGGCAGCAGCCCAGCACTATCCAGGAGGGATAAGGGGACATGCTGGAGCATGTAGAAAGGTCTGGGAGCTTGTCACTCAGGCTTCTTGCCCCAGAGTCATACCAGCAGAGCCATGTGCATCCATGTGACACTGGCCTGGGGAGAACAGGTCACTGAGTGGAGGAGAGAGTGGAGCCAGGAGGGTGGATGCGAACCTGCTTTCGGAGTCCCGGTGTCTGGAGTGTGTCGTTTCCGGCTGGAAAAACACAACTGCCTGCCTGTTGTGCCCCTCCTGTCCTCACTATTTAAGATGAGGTTTCCAACAGCATAGGAAAGGAGTGACAGAGGTTCCACCTGTTAACTGTGACCTTGAATAAGAAGCCAACTTCTCTAGGCCTCAGTTTTCTAAGCTGTGGAGCTTTCACACAGGGGCTGGACAGTCAGCAGTAGCCCACGCAACACTGACCTGCTGAGGAGCAAGACTCACCACATGGAACGAAACATCTCAGCTCCAGGCAGGAAGGAATGAATGGAGCCAGGTTTCCAGTCTCTTCCGACAAACTTTCTCTCCCCACACCCCTTCCCCCAAGCAGGTCACCCTTGGAGGGAAATAGAGCATTTCTTCTGTCTGTGGCTTCCTCTGCCTCTCAGCTAGGACCCCACTGCCTGTCTCAGAGCACTTGTATGGTGAGTCGCAACGGGAAGGGAAACGCTGTACAGGCACCTGTACAGATAGGTCAGGGCACCTGATGCAAGGTGGCCAGGGCAGGCTGCAGTGGGTATTCCAGGCGAGGTGGGCGCAGAGCCCGGGCTTCCCAGCCTGCATCGCCTGCTCTCACACCGTGACCTGCGCAGCCGCTTGGCCCTTACCTTGAACCATGGGAACCACGCTGCCCCGACTAGCGGAGGACTTGGACACACGTGACGGGGCGGGCGTCCCTCTGTCCAAGGCACAGTGAGTAGCGGCAAATGCAGCCCAGGCCAAGGCCGGTGGAGCCTGCTGGGGCCGGGCTGGGAAGAAGAGCGCCAAGAGGCTCCTGGAGGCCCCAGAGGAGGCAAGTGCGTGGCCAGCCGAGAGTCTCTGCCAGCTGCGCGCTGCGGCCGCGGCTCTGGACGCCCAGCTGCCTCCCTGCTAGCTGCACGCGCGACTCCAGCCTAGTCCCAGGCGCGGGGCGCGCGCTGGAGCGAAGGGCGCGCACGCGCTAGCCTGCTGAGGAGTGCGCGCTGCGGCCCGGCGCGCGCGCCGTCGGCGGCGGCTACGGGGAGCAGGCGAGGAACTGTCCCTGGTGCTGACGCTGGTCTGCGGTCCCCTGCGCTGCGGACACACACAAGGTCTAGGGGCCCACACCCCAGTGCGCGCCCTGAGGAGTCACCACCAGCCCATTTCTTTCTCTCTGATGTCTGTGGTCTCTGTGGCGATGGGATTTACCTGGCTGTGGACAGCACAACCCTGGAACAGGTCCCTGGTCCTTCTTGTTTCTGAGGTGACTAACAGCAGGGCCTTTAAGGCTGATCTGAAAATGAAAGGCAAAAAATGCTCAGAGGCATAGCATACATGTTTGATAAATGCTCACCTTTGCTCTTATTTGTTTCCTTTCTCTGGGTCAGTCTGGTGTAGCAGTGCCTGGTCTGTAGTGGGCTGGTGGGTGACTGGGGCCTGTGCTTGACTCAGGTCTCCAGCCACTAGGGAGGAAGCAAATCTCTGCTGCTTTACTCCCAAGTACAGCACTGGGCTAGTGGTTGGGAGTTAAAGCAAGGCAGATTTGAGCTGGATGTGAAGAAGAACTTTCTGGTCTTACCTCTTGAGAAATATGTCCCCAGGACAAGCCCCTATCCCTGGAGATGTTCAGGAGTGGGCTGTGACTGCAGACCCCAACCTGAGGGGAATATATATTGAGTGAGGCTTTGAGTTAAAACACACCACACTCGGAGAACCTTCCTGGATCACTAGGCACTCTCTACGAATGCTTGACTGTGCTGGGATTGACTGGACACTCTGTAAGAAGCACTGTCCTGGTGGGAGGAAATACGTCAGCCTATCCTGAGGGGCCAGAGAGCCGGTGGAATCTCCTTCCCCTTTGCCCACTGACTGGGCATAGAAGGACCAGCAACTCATTCCAAGACATGCCACAGTGCCAAAGAAACAGGTGCTTCAGCCAGACACCTGCGCCCGCGCGCGCACACACACACACACCCTGCCCACTCCCCTGCTGATCCTTCCTCATCAAGCTCCTCAGCAATAGTCAGATCCTTGGTGCTTGAGAGTTTCCTTATAACAAATTGGGAATATCCTTCATCCCACTTAACTACCAGAAAAAGCTGGCCCTGCCTTTAAGTATCTCTACCCCTTTTGAGATGGGTAATTAATTGTCACCTGTCTCACTTCTCCAGGGACTGGTGGCTGTGTTTGATTCATTAATTAACTTCTCAGAGCCTGCTTGCAGCAGGCTCTTATCTCACAGTAAACATCACTTGTTATGTGCTCAATGCATTCCAGATGCAATGCTAAACACTTGCACACATTGTCTCATTTAGCCAGCTCAGCAACAGCCAGGGAGAGCCAGCCAGGACCCGTTTTGCAGGTGAGAACAAATAACAGGGTCCTTGGCAGCAGACCAGAGCTGGGGCTCAATGACTCCCAAGCCCGAGCTTATCAGCCTATTTGTAGATCTCCCAAACTCGCCAGCATTCCCACTCAGAGACAGGACAATAGACTCCATAGAGATGATTCTACATAAGAGGAGGACAGAGAGCCCAGAGAAACCAAGAGGAAACAGCACGCTAGCCAGCCAATCAACTCCTGTAGCCATTTTCCTTCAGACTCAGTCAGGACTACTTGGCTTTTGGTGATTGTCTCAGAACCTTAGATGCTGTCAGTCAAAAATTTCAAAAGAAGCCGCGCCATCAAATCCTGCCTTTTCCCACCAGCTTATCCACACTTTCCCTTGTTCACATGTCCACATCTGCCACAAGATAGTGAATGTGGTAGCCATGGTCTGAGCAGCCAAGCACCCAGGAAGTAGCTTGGCCTTTGCCTCTGGGCTTCCTGTGTAGAGCAGAGAGATGCATTCCCAGTTCTTGGGATGGTGTGACTTTATTTAGTGGTATCCATCTCACTTAAACAGCGATTGGCTTCAATGATTCACAGCATGCACATGTGTACCAATGTCCTTGCATGTAGAGGTCAGAGGTCAACATTGGCTGTTTTCCTCTGTTGCTCTCCTTATTTTTTGAGAAAGAGTCTCTCTCTGAACCTGAAATTTACTGTTTTGGTTAGATTGGCTGGCCAGCAAGTACTCAGGATCCTCCTATCTCTGCTTTCCCCAAAAACTGGGGTTACAGACACATGCTGCCACACCTAGCTTTTAGTGGGTGCTGGGAGTCAACACTCAGATCCTGTGCTTGCACAAGGGCATTATCTTCTGAGCTGTCCCTCCAGCTCTTGTTACCTTTACTTCAAAACATTAACAGAGGGGTGACCTGTAGGCAAAGATTTTTTTTAAAGCCCACTTTAGGGTTCTTAAACATTTCTCCCTCCCTTCCAACCCACTGACCAGAGGTAGGAGAGAAAGAAGGTTATTAGGAAACAGGAGTTGTATACCTTTTTAGGCATAGTTCCACTTTTCATTGTCCAGTCCAAATGCCAATATCAAACAGCAACAGGAGTCAGCACAATTCAGCAGAAATAGCAAGGCTCCACTGAATCAAAACCAGTCATCAAAAGTCACGAGACTCAGATGGATTGCCCCAAGAAGTTCTCTGGAACATTTCGAAGGATAAAGACCATCTAAGCTATATAGATCCAAAAAGCATTGTCTCACTGTCTGTGGGCTTCTATATATCTTCTCCCCTTGGAGTCCACTCATGCATGTTCTCAGTTGGCCAAAACCATGCCCCTCACGTGCTCACAGCAAAACATTCTGTTCCCTCTCACAAGACAGCTTCTAACAAAAGATTACATGACACATCTGAGTCTTCAAATAAATCAGAAATATCAGCTTCAGTGATGTGACTTTCCTAAAGTCACACAGTCAGCAGAGAAATGCACAGAGCAGATTTCATCTGGATAATGGACAGTGGTCACCACCCAACTTGCTTTTTGTGTATGGAAGCATGCCTTGATTTTACTTTTTAAACTCTTTTCTAAAAATAGAAAAGGGAGGAATAAGGAGAAATCTCTGAGCTGACTTCATAGAAACAACATACCATCAAGTTTCCTGAAACAGCAAGTTCTAGTATAGAAGAAGCAGAAACAGAAGCAGAAGAAGAAAAGAAGAAGAAGAAGAAGAAGAAGAAGAAGAAGAAGAAGAAGAAGAAGAAGAAGAAGACTTCTTAAAAAAAAAAAAAGTCCTCTAGCCCCACTCAGCTCTGCAGGCCAGGCAGCAGCAGGCTGCGAGGAGGGAGAGTGGGAGCCATTCCTCTACAGCAGGCTTTCCAGTTGCGTGGTAACTTCTAACCCTATGCCCAGCATCCTTCACTAAACATACAGTTTAGTGGATGTAACTCACACCTGAAAGATGGTGGAGGTGTTGAAAAGTGTCTAACACACAGCGACATGTGGGGCAGTTTGCAAGGCTTGCTCTCCAGTCTGGACAAATGTGGCTTTTGTAAGAAGTCTTTGATGCTATGGAGATGGGACATTTGGATGTAATTATAGGTGAACAACCTCAGGGCTGAGGGTTGATAACCTCTTCATCAGAGGCAAAGATATCAAGTCCTTCTCTCCAGTGTTCTGCAAATATTCAAGCTCAGGGTGCACTCTTTGGTGGGGTGGGGGAGAAAAAAATACTAGTGACCATGGAGGACTATGGGCATCCAGCCATACTTACACATCACTGTGGGTTAATATCTTCAATATGACAGGACCTGGAACCAAGGCAGGACAGGACCTTCAACAGAACAGGACCAAGAGTTTATAGATGGGGTTAACTGAGATTGGAAAACACCGTCTGAGGATGAGAATACCATCCTGTGGCATCCTCAGGATCCTGGGCTGAATAAGAGAAAGAAGCGGACTGAACACCAACATTCATCCCTCTGCTTCCTGACCGTAGATGCAATGTGACCCATGTGTCTGCCACCATGCCTTCTCCACCATGCTGGGATGTGCCCTCAAACTGGGAGCCCACACTTCCATCTGTGAGTTGCTTTTGTCAGGTGTCTTGTCACAGCAGTTTAAAAAAAGAAGTAACACAGTCCTTCCACATTGTGAAATAGGCACTGGGTCCTCTGGCTGGAAGGGCCTCCACCCAGATTCTGCTCCTGATGGGCAGTGTCATTCTGCAGAGCAGAAGAAACAATGCACTCCTGGAAGAAGGAGGCTTCTGCCAGGACCTGCAGAGCCAGGGCCAGAAACACTCACTAAATCTCTTTCAGGGAACCCTCAGGAGGGAGTGAGCTTGTGACTCCAGACATATCATAGTGAAGGCTTGTAGAGACCCTTTCTGTCCTGGACACCTCGGAGACTTTGGAAGGGGTGGTGCTGGCTGATTGGCAGGTATAGAAGTTCCTATTGTTGAATATCGCCTGGCTCTCTCAGGCTACAGCCCTGAGGAGTTCAGAAGTTGATTGAACATGTCAGGTGGCAGAATCATGCGTCTACCCAACTCCAAGTGATCTGCTCAGGTCGAGCCCATTCAGAGAATGAATGAATTAAAAATAATCAGGAACTCAGACACCATCCAGCAACCATGGTTATTTTTGTGATGTCTGAGGCAGAGTTACCCTCAGGTCTCAGATCAAGGCCTGTTAGATTGCACAGCTGTGAGGGATGGCCGGGAAAAGCGAAGCATGTGAAAGATGAAGAGGGTTAGACAGGTGTGCAGGAGAATGGAGACTGTGGGCAGGAGCGGTGCACACAGGCGTGCGCAGCCCGAGGGACTGGGGTGCGTCTCTCGTAGTTCCCAGCAGAAGCCTCATCTTCTTGGGAAGCACCTGTGATGGCTTTTAATTACCGCCACATCCTAAAACATTGTGACAGTGTGCACGATGCACTCATTCTTGAGAGATCATGGAGGATGATAGATGAGGAGGTAGCAACGGGAACCAGCCCCAGATCTCCTGGGGTTCCTCATGTGAGTCACAGGCTGGAAAATCTTGGTGTGGGTGTTGCAGGGGAAGCCGGCATCTGAGGATTTATTATTCCAGGACCTTCACTGG